GTAGAGCACTTGCCTTGAGCTGAAGAGTGCACAGACAGCACCCAGGCCCAGAGTTCAAACCCCACAACCAACTGACCAAAAAAAAAAAAAGTACAGAGTCTCAGGGACTTTCCTGACCCAGCTGGTTTTGAACTGTGATCCTCAGTTCTCAGCCTTCTGAGTAGCTGGGATGATAGGTATGAGCCACCTGCGCCCAGAAGGTGAGAAAGTTTTTGGAAAATCCTCAGCTAGCCTCCAGTTCAGGATCCTCCTGCCTTAGCCTCCAGAGAACTGGGCTTACAGGTGTGTATCACTACACTGATTTTTCTTTTCTTTCTGATTAACTTGTATTAACCTGGGATTTAGTGTGATTCCCCCCCCCACCATGCATTTGATCATATGATCATATGTTGTGTGCTGATCAAATGCTTTAATTCTCTGAATTTTTTTTTAATTCTCTGAATTTTGTTTATTTTGTACTAATACTGGGGCTTCAATTCAAGGCCTGAGTCCTGTCTCTGAACTTTTTTCACTCTACCACTTTGAGCCACAGTGCTGCTTTTGGTTTTCTGGCATTTGATTAGAGAGAAGAGTCTCATGGACTTCACTGCTTGGGCTGCCTTTGAACTGTGATCCTCGGATCTCAGCCTCCTGATTACCTAGGGTTACAGGTATGAGCCACCAGCAGCTGGCTTTTTTTTTTTTCCTGCTTTTGCTCAAGGCTAGCACTCTTCCACTTGAGCGACAGCTCCACTTCCGGCATTTTTTGCTGGTTCATTGGAGGTAAGAGTCTCATAGACCTTCCTGCCTAGGCTGGCTTCAAACCGTGATCCTCAGATCACAGCCTCCTGAGTAGCTGGGATTACAGGCACCTGGCTCTCTGTGGTCTTTGTTGTTTCTGTGTCCTGCCTGGTCTTCCCACCCCACCCCCCAGGAGGCCTCCCCTTCCCTCAGCAGCTTATGTCTGCATTCCCAATCCCCACTCCCTCACGGGGCATCTCTGGCTGGAGCAGGGTCAGCCCCAGGGGAGCAAGTAGGAACTCATGCTGATTGCCTTCTCCCAACTCCCACTTCCCTGGCTTCTGCTCACCCAGCCTAGGGTGCCCCCTAGAGGCTGGCACCCAACTCAGGCTGCATTTGCCGACATGAGTCCCGCCTGCCTGGCTTAGCCAGGAGAGAGAGACAGAGAAAGAGACAGAAACACACAGAGAGAGAGAGAGAGAGAGAGAGACAGACAGACAGACAGACAGACAGACAGACACAGAGAAAGAGATAACAGGGAGAGGACAAAGACACAAAGAGACAGAAGTGAGAGAGGAATAGAAAGTCTCAGAGAGAGATAGAGACAGAAACAGAGAGACAGAGTTGAGAGAGGAAGACAGACAGACAGAGACAGAGAGGCAGAGCCAGGCACCAGTGGCTCACACCTGTCATCCTAGCTACTCAGGAGGCTGAGATCTGAAGATAGCGGTTCAAAGCCAGCTGGGGCAGGAAAGTCTATAAGACTCTCATCTCCAATGAACCTCCAGAAAACAAGAAGTGGCGCTGTGGCTCAAAGTGGTAGAGCGCTAGCCTCGAGCCAAAGAGCTCAGGGACCCGGCTCAAGCCTTGAGTTCAAGCCCATGATGGAAAGAGAGAGAGTGAGACAGTCAGAGTTGAGAGAGGGAGAGAGATAGAAAGAGAGAGCCACACAGAGACAGACAGACAGAAGAGAGGAGAGGAGAGGAGAGGAGAGGAGAGGAGAGGAGAGGAGAGGAGAGGAGAGGAGAGGAGGCCAGAAGACTTCTCTCCAGCCTGCAGGCAGAGGTGAAGGCAAGGCAATGGGTGGTGAGCACCTTCTCTCTGAGCCCTTAGGTGGCAAAGTGCCCTGGCATGTGGAGCAAGTGCGCATGCTCAGGAGAAATGGCGCAGTCAGGCATGGCTAGGCCCCCTCCCCCAAGGCTGCTCCACCTCCAACCCCGCACAAGGCGATTTCCACTTCCCCTCTGCCGGGTCCCACCTCTTCAAGATAATCACAAAGAAGGAGACATTGGGAGAGGGCTTCAAACTACAGCAGGTGACTTCGGTCTCCTGGGAAAAATGTCACACCGAGTGTTGTCATCTCAAAGTCATTTTTTTTTTCTCTTTTGATGGCTCAGGTAGGCTCGAATTCATTTTGATTGGAAGTAATAGAATCCCACTCAAACTAGCTTAAGTAAGGAGAGGCATGTAATCTGAGGAGACAGGATGTGTGAAAGAATCTAATAGAAACATTTTGGCATTATCTTGTAAAGATGAATCTATGCAGAGTGTATGAACCAGAAATTCAACACTTAAGATACGTCAGGAGGAACACTTACACTGGTGTAATAGAGACATGAATAATAATTTTTTAAAGCCAGGCACAGTGGCTCATATCTGTAATCCCAGCTACTCCAGAGGTTGAGAATAGGACAATCACAGTTAAAAGCCAAAAGTAGTGGAACTCCATGCCAATCGGTAAGTTGGACATGGTGGTGCACATTTATAGTCCCAGATGAGGGGAAAGTGTAGAAAAGAGCACTGTGGTCAGAGATCAGCCCCCAGATCCCTGCAGATGTCAACATTCCAAGGGGACCAGAAAGGTTTTGTGGGTATTAACGTCCACTTCACATATGAGGAAAATAGAATATAGAAGAGTTTGAGTAACTTGAACCAGACTCATATAGCCTATAAAAGATGGAGCTGGGATGGTGGCTTATGCCTGTAATCCTCACTACACAGGAGGCTGAGATCTGCTGGTCAAGGTTCAAAGCTAGCCCAGGAAGAAGAAAATCTGTGAGACTTTTCTTTCCAATTAACCACCAAAAAAATCAAAAGTGGAGCTGTGGCTCAAATGGCAGAGTGCTAGCCTTCAGTTAAAAAACAAAATCTCAGGGACAATGCCCAGGTGGCGAATTCAAGCGTCAGGACCACCTTCCCCCCAAAACAAATAAACAAACAGAAGATTTGAACTTGGGTCCTGGAATCCAAAACCAGCAGGTTCAAGTCCTTCGTCACATTGCCACCTGGTGGTTACTCCTGGTATTGATGATGATGAAACCCTCAAACCTGGGGAGCCCTAGGGCAGATCCTGGGGCTGGTGGAAGCTCTTCCTCTTGGGGTACTCTGTGCCCTTCATCAGCTTTTCCTCAGCCGGTCCCATCTTCCCCTTGGTCTTACAATCTTCTATTCCTGTCCCTACTCCTGGGAGCAGGTTCCAAATTTGGCTGTAGACTGGAGGGGGGGGGGGAGGGCCTGGGGCTTGAACTCAGGGCCTGAGCACTATCCCAGAGCTTATTTGCTCAAGGATGATGCTCTACCACTTGAGCCACCACTCTGCTTCCCACTTTTTTGTTGTTTCATTGGAGATAAGAGTCTCCCGATCTTTCCTGCCTGGATAGTCTTTGAACCACAACCCTGAGATCTCAGCCTCCTGAGTAGCTGGGATTACAGACATGAGCCACTAGACACCCAGGCTCAACATCTCCTTTACTCTGATCTCTTGGAAAATGTCAAATCAAAGGTGAAAGGTTCTGAAAAACAGAGTTTGTATATGAGTTGTAATAGAGAGATTAGGGAGAGAGAAAGAGAGAAAAAAAATAAGCCCAAGCTGCTGTTTTTCCCACAGCCTTCAGGCTTTGAGTTATAGTTATTGACTTACTATCTGCCTTCTTCAAGGACGGGACTTGCTTCCATTTCAAGAAGAGTGTGTAATGAGATGGTGATGGTCCTACTACATGTGCTGTGCATGTGAAACAACTGGAAGGTGGATTCTGGGGTATGAGTGCTGAGGACTCGTATGTGTGCGTGTGTGCACACGTGCGCATGCATGCACACACACATGCTCACTTGTGGTCTGACTGTGTGGCATTTTCCACATGGGAGATTTTGTGACGGTGGCTATGTGTTGGGGCTCATCTTTCTGTCCCTTCCAGGATGTCCCTGCCGTGTGTCTGAAGCTCCCTGGGTCCCTCGGGGGTGGATGGGATTAGAGGGGACTCTTTCCATCTAGGGGTGTCAGAGAGCAGTCAGTGGGGCCCTGGGCCTCTGGAGTGGACATATTGCTCTGGGAAAGCAGCAAGTGTAGATTAGATTTCTCAGGTTATGGAACAGAAAGGAAAGAGAAGGATCTAGGTCAGTTCTGGGGCAGGACCAGGGACTCAAACTAAGCCCTGTGCACCAAGCAGCTGCTGGGTGATGGGTGGTGCCCTTCCTGTATTGTATGTTCATATTTATAGTATCATCTTCATTCCATTCTGCGTATTAAAATTTTATGTCGTGTATACAAACAATGTTTATATGAGCCGGGTGTGGTGGCACACATCTGTAAACCCTGCTCTTCAGGAGACAGAGGCAGAAGGCTATTTCCCTGAGATAAGGATCACAATCCTGTCTCAGCTGGGGCTGACATCCTAGCGAGACAGAAGGCTGAGATCTGAAGATCGGGGTTTAAAGCCAGGCCTGGGGGCAGGAAAGTCTGTGAGACTCCAATCTCCAATTCTCCAGCAAAAATAAAGTTGGAAGTCAGGTGTGGCTCAAGTGGTAGAGCACCTGCCTTGAGAAAAAAAAAAAAACATAAGGACAGCATCCAGGCCCTGAGTTCAAGCCCTAAGACACACACACACACACACACACACACACACACACACACAAACCTCAATGAATTAATATTTTTCTTTTTTTTTTTTTGGTCGTGGGTCTTGAACTCTGGGCCTGGGCGCTGTCCCTCAGCTCTTCAGCTCAAGGCTAGCGCTCTACCACTTGAGCCACAGCGCCACATTTGGCTTTTTCTGCTTATGGGGTGCTGAGGAATCGAACCCAGGGCCTCATGCCTGCAAGGCAAGCACTCTACCACCGCGCCACCTTCCCAGCCCCATGAATTAATTATTAAAGAGATTTCAAGGTTAAGAACATCTTAACTTGCTGGGGGGTGGGGGGAGAGGCCCCACTTTTTATCTCGCAGCTTCTCCCTTCTCACGGGTCGGGTACATAAAGTGGAATCCCAAAGCCTCCGCTCTCAGTGTCGGGTACCATGACGCAGCTGCGCCTCCTACTGCTGCTGGCCCTGGGCCCGGCCGCCATCCCCCGGGCCTGGGGTGCCTGCCCGGTGCCCGCCGATCTGAAGCAGGCAGATGGGACGCGCACGTGCGCCAAGCTCTACGACAAGAGCGACCCCTACTACGAGAACTGCTGCAAGGGAGCCGAGCTGGCCCTGCAGCCGGGCGCCGATCTACCCTACCTGCCCTCGGACTGGGCCAACACGGCCTCCTCGCTGGTGGTGGGCCAGCGCTGCGAGCTCACGGTGTGGTCCCTGCCTGGCAAAGCTGGCAAGACTCGCAAATTCTCGGCGGGCAGCTACCCTCGCCTGGAGGAGTACCGCAAAGGCATCCTGGGTGACTGGTCCAACGCCATCTCCGGCGTCTACTGCAAGTGAGAACACTCCCCCTTCCCCAGAGCCAGCCCTGGGCACCCCATCTCAGAGGGTACCCCCCCAACCCTGCCTTTTTGTCTCTGATCTCATCCCCACTCCCCAGTTGATTTCCTTCTGGCTCCTTATATCAACCTCTGGGGGTCCCAGACTCAAGCCACATGCACCCCCAGTATGCTGGGTAGACTCCCTCTCTTTCTGTATCCCCCACTTCCCACAGCTGCACATCCACAGAGGCTTCCTGGTGAGCTCACTGACCACCTCTCTTCCCAAACCCCTTTCTTTTTTTTCTTTTTGTGGGTCCGGTCGTGGGGCTTGAACTCTGGGCCTGGGCGCTGTCCCTCAGCTCTTCAGCTCAAGGCTAGCCCTCTACCACTTGAGCCACAGCGCCACTTCTGGCTTTTTTCTTTTTGCTTATGTGGTGCTGAGGAATTGAACCCAGGGCCTCAGGCGTGCAAGGCAAGCGCTCTACCACTGAGCCACCTTCCCAACCCCCCAGACCCCTTTCATCTGACAGCTCCAGACTCAAGGCCCAGGCTTTTTTTTTTTCTTTTCTTTTTGCCAGTCCTGGGGCTTGAACTCAGGGCCTGGGCTCTGTCCCTGAGCCTCTCTGTGCTCAAGGTTAGTGTTCTACCATTTGAGCCACAGTACCACTCAGTGGTGCTGAGGAATCGAACCCAGGGCTTCATGCATGCTAAGCAAGCACTCTTCCACCAAGCCACAATCCCAGACTTTAAAACAACCCAGGTCTCAAAACTCAAGGCCTGGTCCTATATGGCCAAACCTAGTCTAGGCATCCATGCTCCCCCACACACCTGGCCCCCCGAAGATCAGCCTCAAAACTAGTCCCAACCCTGGGGTTTCCCAGCCCCACCTGTACATACCGGAGCTCCTAGACCAACACCACCAAGCCCCCCCCCCCCCACCTCCCAGCCCCAAACTCTCCCAGGCCAGGACCCCCTGAATCTATAGCCTGGCTCTTCCCCTTCACCTGGTGAGAATCTCTCATCTTCTTGCAGGTGTAACTGAGGAGCCTTCATCTCTACCCAACTCCGTGCTGAATGCCCCCTCTGCCTCTTCCTTTGGCCTCTCCCACCCCCAGTTCCAGGAGGATGGAGCTCTCTGCTGCCCCCACCTGGCCTGTGTACAATACAGCCCTACTGAACCTGCCTCTGCCTGCGGTGCTGCTGTGTCCACACGTGAATGGGTGGTGTAGGGGGAATGGCAGGATGTGCCACCTGGGTCAGCCTAGACCCGGGGCAGTGCCAGGGTTGGGAACACAGCCATCGATTGTGACTGAGAGTTAGGTATGCATAAAGATCCCACCCAGAGGGCTAGGTGTGTTGGCTCACATAGCTAGCTACTCAGGAGGCTGAGATCTGAGGATTGCTCACAGTTCACATAGCCCAGGCAGGCGAGTCCCTGTGACTCTTATCTGTCATTAGCCAGCAAAAAGCCGGAAGTGAAGCAGCGGTGGCTCAAGTGATAGAGAGCCAGCCTTGAGTAAAATAAAAGCTAAGGGACAGTGCCCAGGTCCTGAGTTTAAGTCCCAGTTCACACACACACACACACACACACACACACACACACACACACACACACACACATGTTGGTGTGGAAATTCCACAGTGGTGAAGGATTGGAGAAAGAGAGAATGGGATTGGACTGGAGGGGGGTTCTGAGGACCAGAGACCAGGGGTGCCATCAGCATCTTTGAGCATATCATTTTATTTATTTACTTGGTGGTGACTTGCTGAACACCTACTATCTGACAAACACTGAATTCAGGCATGGAGTCTGTTCCCCGGGGGGCTGAGAGAGTCAGAGCTAGACAGTCAAGGAAGTGGGAAGCCAAAGACCAGGCAAGATTTGGCAGCAGGGAGGTAGAAAAGGGCCAGGAAGACAGTGGGGAAGATTATGTTGGGGCGAAGGGATCAGATATGGAGTGCTGACTGTAATCCTTGCTACTTACAAGGCTGAGATCCCAGGGTCATGGTTGGAAGCTAGTCAGGGCAGGAAAAAGTCCATGAGACTCTTATTTCCAATTAATGAGCAAAAAGTCAGAAGTAGAGCTGTGGTTCAATTGGTGGAGTGCTAGCATTGACCAAAGAAGCTCAGAGACAGTACCCAGGTCCTGAGTTCAAGCCCCAGGCCTGCCATTCAACAAACAAACAAAAACTGGGGACTCATGGCCTGTAATCCTGGCTACTCAGGAGGCTGAGATCTGAGGATCAGGGTTCCAAGCCAGCTGGGACAGGAAAGTCCATGAGACTCTTATCTCCAATAAACCACCAGAAAACCAGAAGTGGTGCTGTGGCTCCAAGTGGGAGAGCACTAACCTTGAGCGAAAAGAGCTCAGGGACAGCACCTAGGCCCTGAGTTCAACCCCATGACTGACCAAAAAAAAGAGAGAGAGAGAGAGAGATTCTGAAATGCTGAAGAGCTGACAAAGCAGGTTGGCATGAACGACAGATCAGAAAGCCAAGGGTCAGGAAGAGGGCGGGGAGAGGCTCAGAGACCGCTCTGAGAGGCCCAATCAGCCCATCACTCCCTGAGCTGCACAGACACGGAGGAGTCGGTCACCCTGGTCCTGCGGAGGCCCCTGGGCTCTATGCGGTTCTTGGTCTTGTGCAGGAAGTGGACGAACCTCACCCCGGGGCCGTATTGACGGAAGACGTGTGACACCTGTGACAGAGCAGGTTTAGGAAGACCCCACCCCACTGCCCTCCCTCTGCAGGGTCCTGGAGTGAGGGGACCCGGCCGGGGGCATCTCACCTGGATCCAGTTCCCCGGGGGGCCCCTCCCCAAGGTGCGGGGGGCCACGTGGTGCTGTGCAATGACCGTGCGGCGGTCGGCGGCCAGCAGCCAGACGTGCAGTTCATACACACAATCGTCCAGCCGGCTGTCCTCAAACCTGGAAGTGGGGTCTCATTGTCAACCATGTCCCCCAACACCCCTTATCCCAACCACCTTATCCCAGCCTTATCCCCCTTTCCCAGCCTCCATCTTGGCTCAGAACCATTCAAATCCTCTACCCAGGCTGGCAGTTTAGGGTAGGGTGGTAATACACCTTGTCTTTGGGGGGGGCGTGTCTAGAGATAAATTGGAGGGGGGGGGGCAAGTGTCACTAGCAGTGACCACCAAATATGCTGGGACAGGTGAGGATTCGCAGGTGGGGGGGGGCAGGAGAGGGCAGCCCGGCGGGGCACTGGATTGCATCGGTCCCAGCTGGGCATAGTCAGAGCAGGCATATCCTCGGAGCGCCTGGGGATAACTGCTTACAGCAAGGAGGAATCCATTTCAAGACTAAGGAGGGAGATATGGGCTGGGAAGGTGGCTCAGTGGTAGAGCGCTTGCCTTGCATGCATGAGGCCTTGGGTTCGATTCCTCAGCACCACATAAGCAAAAAGAAAAAAGACAGTGCCCAGGCCCAGAGGTCAGGCCCCACGACTGGACCCCCCCCCAAAAAAAATAAAAGGAGGGAGCCAGGTACAGTGGCTCAGGTCTCTGATCCTCAGAGACTCTGGAGGCTCAGATCTGAGGATCAAGGTTTAAGGCCTGGGCTGGGAAGGTGGCTCAGTGGTAGAGCGCTTGCCTTGCATGCCTGAGGCCCTGGGTTCGATTCCTCAGCACCACATAAGCAAAAAGAAAAAAGCTGGAAGTGGCACTGTGGTTCAAGTGGTAGAGTGTTAACCTTAAGCTGAAGAGCTGAGGGACAGCGCCCAGACCCAGAGTTCAGGCCCCACGACCGGACCCAAAAAGAAAAAGAAAAATGCCGGAAGTGGCGCTGTGGCTCAAGTGGTAGAGCACTAGCCTTGAGCTGAAGAGCTGAGGGACAGCGCCTAGGCCCAGAGTTCAGGCCCCACGACCGGACCCAAAAAAAAAAAAAAGGTTTAAGGCCTGTCCAGGCAAGAAAGTCCATAAGACTCTTATATACACCAATTAATCAGCAAAAAACCAGAAGTGGAGTTGTGGCTCAAAGTGATAGAATGCTGGCCTTGAGCAAAAGAGCTCAAGGACAGCACCCAGGCCCTGAGTTCAAGCCCCAGGAGCAGCAAAACAACAACAACAAATCAAAACCAAACACATACACACACACACACACACACACACACACACACACACACACACACACAAATGGTACCAGACATTCAAAGAAGGAAACACTGGGCAAAAGCCACAGATTTTTTTTTGGGAGGGGGTTGGTTGTAGGGCTTGAACTCAAGGCCTAGGCATTGTCCCTGAGCTCTTTTGTTCAAGGCTAGCACTCTACCACTTTGAGCCATAGAGTTACTTCCAGCTTTCTGGTGGTTATTGGAGAAGAGTCTTATGGACTTTCCTGCCTTAGCTGGCCTTGGACCCTGATCCTCAGATCTCAGCCTCCAGAGGAGCCAGGATTACAGGTGTGAGCCTGTAGCAGGCATGGTCTTGTGGGAGTGGCTGTAGCAGGGCATAGGCGTGTCACTGTGGGCGTGGCTCACTGTGGATAGGTTTCCCAATGTGTGCAATGTTATGGTGGGCGTGGCCGTCCATGTGGGTGTGGCCTGGTGGTGTGGGCGTGGCGTTGCTAGCTGCGTTGTAGGCGTGGCCAGGCCTGCACAAGAGGTCCAGTGCAGAGGCAGCCCCGGGTAATCAAGGTTGGGGCTGCGGGGCAGGCTGGGCACGCACCAGTCCATTACGGTGACATCCGGCTGCTCGTCATCCAGTAGCTCCTCCCACAGGCCCTCTGCCAGGAGGTTCACGCACTGCTGCTTCACTGTCCAGCTGCAGAGGGAGAGGAGGGGGGACACAGAGGTGGGGTCTGGTCCAGCTGTGATCATCAGGGCTCCAAGGTGACCCACACACAGATGCTGGGTGCCTCCTTCATGCCTGAGGATCTCAGCTCCCATGAGCCTCTCCGGGGACCATGAACTCTAAACCCTTGGTTACATACAGATGGGGAAACTGAGGCAGAAGATGAGAACTTGCACAGCCAGGGTTAAGCAGTGAAGAGTAGCAGAATCAACACGCTAACAGAGCATGCGTGACTGGACCACGGAATTCCAGCCTCTTGGTCCCTGGGCATTATCAGGGCTGGGTTCACTGGATGACAAATGGCAGCCCAGGTGTCCCTTCCCTCCCAGAGGAGGAAGAGGTCAGGAACGGTCACAATAGCAACGTCAACTGCTACTTAATGGACCTAGTAGGTGGTGCTCCTCTACCCCTCCCCCGCCCCCCATGCTCCCAGTTTGGCAATCATTCTTTCTCACTAAACTTTGCAGAAGGCAGAGGCCCAGAGAGTCTGTTTCCCCAAGCCACACAGCAGACTAGAATTGGAAGAAAGATAAATATTTCCCACACAACCAGGGCCTTGCTGCTCACCTGAGATTGTGCTGGAGCTTTTCAGATCCAATGTACCATCCATGGAAATTGCCTGGCAGGTGAGGATAGTTAGAATGTCATTGTCCCCTAAGAATAATGCACCCCCCCCCCAATACAGCCCCAGCACTTACCCAGGGCCTCCAGTGGTTGCTGGGTGGGGCCAGTAGGAGGAGCTGGCTGGTAAATGTTAATACCTGAAACCACAGCGTTGCTCACAGCCTTAGGCTCCCCCTTCCCCTCCCATCCCCTCCCTCTTCCCTTCCTCTTACCCCAGGCTGTGGGGGGGAGAGGCTGAAATCAGAGGCCTGAGGAACGAGTCCACAGGGATGAAGGAGTGAGGGTTGGGGCGGGCGAGGGGACAGAGAATGTGTGGGGGAAGGCAGGGGTGCTGTGCGGTCTCACCCCGTCATCCCAGCTCCCACTCAGGAGGCTGAGATCTGAGGATCACAGGTCAAAGCCAACGCAGGGAGGAAAGACTTTGAACCTGTTTATCTCCAATGAACTCAGGGAAAAGCTGGAAGGGGAGCTGTGTGGCTCAAGGGGCAGAGCTGTAGCCTAAGGGACAGTGCCCAAGCTCTGAGTTCGAGGGGGGAGGAGAGAGAAAGACACACACACACACACACACACACACAGAGACAGAGAGAGACAGAGACAGAGACAGAGACAGAGAGACAGAGACAGAGAGACAGAGACAGAGAGACAGAGACAGAGAAACAGAGACAGACAGAGACAGAGACAGAGACAGAAACAGAGACAGACAGAGACAGAGAGACAGAGACAGAGAGACAGAGACAGAGACAGAGACAGACAGAGACAGAGAGAGAGAGACAGAGACAGAGAGAGACAGAGAGACAAAGACAGAGATGGAGAGGCAGACAGACAGACAGACAGAGACAGAGAGACAGAGAGAGCACAGGACCCAGGTAAATGGGAGAGATCGGGGTCACAGAGGCCAGAAAAGCAGGTACAGAGGGGACCCCAAGAGCCCGGGGAGAGGCCGGGGAGAGGCGGGGATCGGCCGGGGATCGGCCGGGAGGAGGCGGGGGAGAGCCCGGGGACCGGCCGGGGGGAGGCGGGGGCGCGGGCCCGCACCTTCGGGGTTGGGCGAGCGCAGCAGGTTGCGGTAGAGCGGGCGGCGCAGGAGCAGCAGCGTCCAGGTGAGGCCGGCGGGCAGCTCGAGGCTCCCGCCCGGCGGCCCCCACTCCTCCAGCAGCAGCTGCCGGGCGCTGGCCTCGGACGGCGGCTCGGGCCGCGGGGGCCCGGGGGCCTCGGGGCTGGCGGGCGGCGGCGGCGAGGGCGGCGGCGGCGGGGGCCGGGGCGCGGGCGGCGGCGGGGGCCGGGGCGCGGGCGGCGGCTCCGGGGAGCTGTCGGGCCCCGCCGCCGCCGCCGCCGGCCCAGCGCCCCGCACGTCGTCCAGCTCGCGCGCCTTCTCCATCTGTCCTCCGGGTCCAGCCTCTGAGTCCCGGGGCTCCCGCGGGCTCCGGGTTAACTGGGGCGGGAGGGGGCGGGGCGGCCCAGCCCGCACTTAATAGAGGGCGTGTTGGGGCGAGGATCTGGGCCCCCGGGGTCCTCCTCCCTCTGACTGGAGCAAACTTCCCCCAGATTTCCTCCCTGGGAATACGAGTCCAGCCCCCAGCCTCCTCCCTCAGACCCGGGGGGGTCCAGCCCCCAGCCTCCTCCCTCAGACCCGGGGGTCCAGTCCCCAGCCTCCTCCCTCAGACCCGGGGGGGGGTCCAGCCCCCAGCCTCCTCCCTCAGACCCGGGGGTCCAGTCCCCAGCCTCCTCCCTCAGACCCAGGGATCCAGGCCCAGCCTCCTTCCTCAGACCCAGGGGGTCCAGGCCCAGCCTCCTCCCTCAGACCCGGGGGGGTCCAGCCCCCAGCCTCCTCCCTCAGACCCGGGGGTCCAGTCCCCAGCCTCCTCCCTCAGACCCAGGGATCCAGGCCCAGCCTCCTCCCTCAGACCCGGGGATCCAGGCCCAGCCTCCTCCCTTAGACCCAGGATCCAGGCCCAGCCTCCTTCCTCAGACCCAGGGATCCAGGCCCAGCCTCCTTCCTCAGACCCAGGGGGTCCAGTCCCCAGCCTCCTCCCTCGGACCCGGGGGTACAGTCCCCAGCCTTCCCCAGCCTCCACACTGCCTGTCCCAGTTTCCCCCAAGGCCAGCTGTGGACAGGGGCCTAGGACTGACCTGGACAGCGTGAGGAGTTACGTCAGGGCAGGGATGGGGTTTTGGTTCATGAAGACCCTCCTTTCTCCCCCTCTTCAGCCCCCTCCCTCACCTGGGGACTGTCTGTGCTTGAAAGCAAGTTGCAAAGAGCAAAGCAAGGCCGGGAAGGCGAGCTGGGCAGGGAGGTGGAGGACCCCGGGGGCCGCCTGGAAGCAAGCAGCCTCCAGCTGGGGTTTTCTGGGTGTTTGCACCCCTTCCTGCCTCCTCCCTCAGGTCACAGATGGGAGGGAGGGATGGGGGGATGGTGGAGGCTGGGTGCTTGGGGTGGGGGGTAGGGAAACCTGTAGAGCCAGATGCTTTTGGTTGGTCACATCCCACACCTTGCCCAGGTAGGCCCAGAGTTGCAGAGAGAGGACCCAGAGCAGAACCCACAAGCACTCCCAGGTTACTTCATCCTCTCAACAAAGAGGGAGGAGCTGGCCGGGCTAGGCGGTACACGCCTGTAATCCCAGCATGCAGAGAAGGCTGAGACATGGGTTCCAAGACAGCTTGGGTGACATAGTGAGCCCGTCAACACACTCCCTCGGTACCACCCCTTCCCCCCCAAAAAAAAAAAGATAAACAGAGCCTTGAACAAAAAAAATAGCTCAGGAACTGTGCCCAGGCCCTGAGTTCAAACCCCAGGATCAGCACAAACAGGAGCAAATGATTGGCAGTGTACAGGTAGAGGTCACATCAGGTTTCTTGGTACCCACAGTTCCACGGCTACTTCCTGTCCCACATTCCCCACTCCAGGGCACCAAGCCCCGTGCTGTCAGACACTGGGGGGAACTGGGCTGCTACCCCAGTGATGACGCCATGTAATTGAGGGCTGCCTGTGTGCCAGGTCCAACGCTGTTGTTGTGCCCATATTGCAGGTCAGGAAAGCGAGTACAGAGAGGTCCAGGAACTCCCTTGACATTGCACAGCCTGGCAGCCAAACACTTCTGCAGACACACATGGTTAACATTGGTTGATTGTCTTCCTGTGTCTGGATGGGACCAGGAAACTGAGGCACGAGAGATGACCTGATCTGCCCTGATGTGGGAAAACACCAGGGGAAGGGCCCAGAGGCTGGGATTTCTGGGAAGGACAAACTAATCAATGCCTGCTCAAGGCTGGTGCTGTACCACTTTGAGCCACAGCTCCACTTCTGGCTTTCTGGTGGTTCATTGCGGATAAAAATATTCCACACTTGCCTGCCTGAGCTGGCTTTGAACTATGATCCTCAGACCTCAGCCTCCTGAGTAGCTGGGATTACAGGTGTGAGCTATAGGTGCCTGGCTTTTTTTCCCCCCCTTTGTTCGGTTATGGGACTGGGCGCTGTTCCTGAGCGCTTCAGCTCAAGGTGAGTGCTCTTTCACTTGAGCCACAGAGCCACTTCGTTTTCTAAGTGGTTTATTGGAGGTAAGAGTCTCACAGACTTTCCTGCCGGGCTGGCCTTGAACCAACGATCCTCAGATCTCAACCTCCTGAGTAGCTAGGATTACAGGTGTGAGCCACTGGCGCCCAGCTTTTTTTTTTTTTTTTTTTTTAAGACAGTGTTGTTCTGTGGCTCAGGCTGGCTTCCACTCGGCATCTTCCTGTCTATGGTGCTGGAATTACAGGCTTGTGCCACCACTACTGGGTTAAAAACAAGGAGAGACGTTTTGGTGCTGGGTGGAGTGGGGTCAAACCCAGTGTCTCATGCATACTAGGCCAGTACTCTACCACTGAGCTACACACCCAGTCTTGTCTCAGGGCTTTTGCTGGAGACATTGTCCCCACCTGAGGTACAGATCTCCTCCCATGCAGTGGCTCCCAGACCTTGGGCCATGTTTGGATCATGAGACCAGGATAAACCCCAGAACTTAGGAGAAAAAACAAGGAAACAAAACTCAAAACTTCTAAGTAAACCGGAGGAATCCCTGAGCGCCAATCTAGCTTCCTGGAAGAAGGAAGATCGTGGTTCTAGGCCAGCCCAGGCAGAAGTCTCTGAGACTCCAGTACAGTGGTCAGATGCTGGGTAGAATGGTGTCTGATTACTCCAGCTATGGTATGAAATGAAAAAATAGGAGGATCATAGTCCAGATACAGGCCCAGGCAGGAAGTGAGACTATCTCAAGTAGCATATAGCTGGATGCCAATGGCTCATGCTTGTAATCCCAGTTACTCAGGAGGCTGAGATCTGAGGATCAAGGTTCGAAGCCAGCCTAGGCAGGAAAGTCCATAAGATTCTTTTTTTTTTTATCCTCCACACCCTCCGGGCCCCCAGCCCATTCTCAGTCCATGAGATTCTTATCACCAATAAACTACTCAGAAAAAGCCGGAAGTGGTGCTGAGGCTCAAGTGGTAGAGCACTAGCCTTGAACACAAAGAAACTCAGGGACAGAGCCCAGACTCTGAGTTCAAGCCTCAGGACTGGCAAAAACAAAAACAAAACAAAAAACAAAGTAGTATATAAAAGGGCTGGAGATGTGGATCAATGAGAGAGTTCCTAGCAAGCCCTACAACCGACCAAAAAAAAAAAAATCCACCAGAAAACTGAAGTGTTGCTGTAGCTCAAGTGGTAGAGCTTTATTAGCCTTGAGCTAAAGAGCTGAGGGACAGCACCCAGCCCTAGAGTTCAAGCCCCAAGGGTATAGCTGGAAAGTGAATTACAATACAACATTGCAAACTGGTTTCCAAGTGAACATGGGCAAAGGCCCCAGCTCTGCAGGGCAGAAGCTAGAACCCACACCACCCCTTCCCAACAAGCTTACATTCTAGGTTTGGAATGCTCCCTGGAGACCCAAGGATTAAAGGTGTGTGTGGTCCCCAGTTTGGCACTGTTGGGAAGTGGTGGTGGGACCTTTAAGAGGCGGAGCCTAGTGAGAAGTCTTCTGATCCCTGGGGGTTGGCTACTGAAGGCACTTTTGGGACCCCAGTCTCTTAATTTTTGTTGTTTGATTGGTTCTGAGATTTGAACTCGGGACACTTGGCTAGGTAGGTGCTCTACCACTTGAACCAACCACATCTCCAACACTTTATGCTTTAGTGTTTTTGTTTTTTTGGTCATGGGGCTTGAACTCAGGGCCCATGCACTGTCCGTGAGCTTTTTCACTTGTCCGTGAGCTTTTTCACTTGCGTCCAGTGCTCTACCACTTTGAGCCACAGCACCACTTTGATTTTCTGGTGGTTCATTGGAAATAGGAGTCTCATAGACTTTCCTGCTTAGGCTGACTTTGAACCGTGATCCTCATATCTCAGCCTCCCGAGTAGCTAGGATTACAGGTGGGAGCCACCAACGTACGGCTTTATTTTTTTTTTGGGTCCGGTCCTGGGGCTTGAACTCTGGGCCTGGGCACTGTCCCTCAGCTCTTCAGCTCAAGGCTAGCACTCTACCACTTGAGCCACAGCACCACTTCCGGCTTTTTTCTTTTTGCTTATGTGGTGCTGAGGAATCGAACTCAGGGCCTCAGGCATGCAAGGCAAGTGCTCTACCACTGAGCCACCTTCCCAGCCCCTTGCTTTAGTTTTTTCAGACTGAGTCTCACACCTTTGCCAGATGTCTAGCCTTTATCCTTGATCCTTCTACCTGTAGCCTCCGAGTAGCTACAATGACAGGAGTGTGCTACCACACTGTCCTGGAGTGTGGAAGCTCCATCCAGGTCATTAGTACAGGGTGATCTTATGTCCAGCTCGCAAGCTTTTGCCAGATGTAGTAGTATTTCTGGGTCCCAGGAACTAGGGATTGGTCACACCTTTTTTTTTGGTGGGGGGAAGCAGGACACTATTCAACCCATTCCAGATAGGGGTCCCCTCAGGAGACAGGGATAAGCCTTGGGGGAGGGGGGGGGCAGGAGAATCTAGTCCTACAGTCTGGTGATGGCTCCTCATCGATGTATAGAAGGCAGCCTGGGTCCTCACAGCTCAGAACATTCCGCTCCACAGCTCTGCACGGCCACACCCAGCCCTTGCTTCGTGTGCTCCTGGTGGCCTGTGACTACTCAGAGAGGCTTCCTTGGTCATCTTCTGGCTCACCCGGGCAGGGCCTTCAGTGGATTTGTTTACTGATTGTCCCCAGCTCAGAGCTGATGGGACGGTGGCTCTGCTTGCTGGGCCGGGAGGGCCAGGCCAGCCCTATGCCTGGCAGACCAGAAAGGGCGTCCAACCTGCCCACTCTGCTGAGACACCAATAGTCACCCCGTGAGCCAGCATGCTGCAGGGCCCCATTCTGCTGCAATCTCAGCGTTTGGGAAACTGAGGCAA